TGATGCGCGGTGTAGGCTGCTCGTTTTCTGACCCAAGGGCACGGGCCGATGTGGCAGTCCTGGCGCGGCGCTTACCCGTTCGGCCTTTACGCTGGGCCCTGGGCGACGCCGACGTTAAACTATTCGCTAAGTTGTTAATCGGCCCTGTGGTTTCCAATGCGCACCAGATTGTGGGTCCTGCGCAGAAATGTGTGGTGGGTCGTGCAATGGTTGAGGATGTTCGCGCTGAGGTGTGCGGTTTGGCTTGGATCATGCGTGTCGACAAGCACTCGTCGTTGTTCCTCGCACACATTGTCGTTGCATGCCCGAATTTTGCGCAGACATGGTTCGTCAATGTCCTTTCAGACTGCGTGCATCTGCGCGTCGGCAGCTCATTTTCCAGGTTACTGTATGAGGACAACTTTACTATCGAAATTATTGGGGGGTCAGGGTGGTTAATTTTCGAGGATTCTGTATGAGGACAACTTTGCTATCAAAGTTGTTGCGGGGTCAGGGATTTGATGCAATTGCGGCTGGGTCGGGGGTCAAGCCAGGCTGTCAAGCTTCAGCCTGCCTCTGCGTGCTGGCGGTTGGCCCCCTGCGTTGCTGGCTTCGCCGCCGTCATCTTTGCATATGCTGGCGACTTCCTCTTTGGATTGGCCAATCTGTTGCCGGTTTTGGCCATGTATTGACGGCCGTTCTGTTCCTGGCTGGCGTATCCAATGTACGTTCGAACTTCCGGAAACAGATCATTTTATGCCGATGCACGGACAGGCAGCGCTTTATTTCTGTGCTGTCGAGCTTTGGGGCGCCGTTCGCTGATATTCAAAGTTGTTTGCCGTGCTGGTCACCTCGGTTCCCCCATTGGTCCCTAGGCCCACGTGCACGTCTGGAAACCTCTTCCCTGGATTCCACGCCCGGGTGCACAAGACTTGCCAGCTGGGTTTTGGCCTTGCTCGGTCGGCGATTGCCTTCTGCGCGATGCACGTCTCGACGCTATGATTTCGACTTCAGCTTTATCCGCCTGGCCTTCATCTGCCTCGCCGATTAAACGAAAGTGCGTTGCTGTTGACTTCGGGTCCGAGAAACGCGATCTTGTGCAACATTGCAACGAAATTGAAGTCCATAGGGTTTGGTACGGAGCTCGTGTGTATCGATCCCGTTGCGAAGGCCACCGCCCCTCAGGTGCATGCTCCGGTCCTCCTCGTTCCCTGGGGTTCCGTCCGAGCTCGATTCCTCCAGAAATAACATGGAAACATGCGCCGTCTGCTGGAGTGGTACTGTAGGCTGTGCTCCAACGTTTCCGAGGGGGCCCCGAGCTCCAGGCCAAATTGTATTCGTTCCTTCGGGGGCTCCAACTTTCGGAGCCTGAGCAGGATGCCTTATTACGACGGGCACGTTACTTCTGTCCGGAGGTTGGGCCTTCTCATATCAGTACGACGCGTCATTCGATTCGGAGAAGACGACGCCACACTTCCATGTATATGGGTGTTGCCCCGAGTCGGAGCCCCCCGCTGGCCCCATCAACCCCTCAACCGTTCTTCACACCAGCTGCAGGGTGCCTTGTTGGTTCCACGGACCCTGCTGGCGACTCTGACCTCGACGCCCCCAGGCACATGTCGAGTTGCCCCAAGATGAGAGCATTGTTCAAGAGTTGGCTTGGTCCTCTTCATTGCGTCTATCGTGGTTCTGCTAGCCCCCACCGATTGCCCTCCTGCCTCCGTCTCGTTCTTGACCACGCGCCGGCCAGTTTCCAGCGCGCTGCATGCGTCGATGCTTTGTGTTGGCCGCCCGCAGCGCGAGACGCATCTCGTGCTGTGGCACGCCGTCCCAGGTCCTTGAGGCTTGCCTCCGTGGCACCGCCCGTCGCCACAAAAAACTTGCGCGGACGCCTGGGCCGAAGATGGGCACTTCTACGTTGCATCTTCGGGGGACCTCGCCTGGGGGACTTGGTGTCTTCTGTTGTGCCCGACGCGGGCTCGATGCGGACTCGACGCGGACTTGGCGTGGATTCGACGCGAATTCGACACGGATTCGACACGGATCCGACGAGGCCGACATGGATTCGACACGGATTCGACGCGGATACGGCCGCGACGGGACAGCAAAGGTTCCCATGAGGATGCAACAGAAGGCGCTTCCACGTTCGTCAGTTCATCCACCCTGTGCAGGGCAGCAGAAACCGGCCAAGTTCGTGTCAAATGGGTAGGTTTTCTGGCGGGCAAGACGCCCATTGCCCTTCTCCCATCAGTGTGACCGAAGCGCTACCTTCCCGTGCAGCGGGCACGCCGAGATGGGTGCTTTCTGCCCAGGCTGACTCTCAAGACCGTCCGTCTTGAGTTGGAGGTGTGCTCGAGCAGTTGCAGCGGGTGGGCGACCGAGTCGGGGATATGTTAAAGTTGATCACGGTCTGTTATTCAATGTTTGGGGCTTTGCCCCCAAATGCTTTGCGGGCAGGTAACCTAACAAGCCGTCGTGAACTGCGGTTGGGGGGCAAGAAAAACTTGAACAGCACATGCACCAGCAACTAAGCAACACCTGCACCAAACAATCGCCAACACTTGGGCAACAAGTTTACCACACTTGAACAGCACATGCACCAAGCATGCGCTGGGCATGGGCCACGTATTCTGCCATCGCGCGAGCTACTGCGCTGATGGCAAGCTGCGTTTGTTGCGGCCGCGAGCGCATGACTCGCGAGACGAAGTGGCATTGAACCGTTTACAGATGTTCACGAGTTCCGCGCGGACGAATAAAGGTCCCTCTTTGTGGGGCGGACAGTCCGTGCGCGCTCGCACTGGGATTCGGGAAACGACCCGCTAGATTGCCGACGTTTGCATGCTTGCAGTCTGTACAGGCCCGGGCAGGGTTTTGCCGCAAGCCTTCCGCTGCATGCTTTTTTAACGCCGCGGGGAGAGGGAAATGCGTGTCACTGACACGCCGCCGCTGGGAGCCCCGCGGCGTGCTGCTTCTGGGATCTTGCCCGGAGACCCGGCGCCCGTCCGCAGCAAAACGCGCCGATGGGCTCCCCACGGCGGCGTGCCGTGGGTATACGTGTTGTCCCTCCCCAGGCCTTGCGACCGATTCGCCAATCGATCGGGACTCGCGAGGGGTCGGGCGGGACCCACTTCGGTCCCCCGATCCGTGAGCCGATCGGGACCCGCGCGGTCGATCGGGCACCAGGCCGGCAGGTGGCGCCAGAGCTTCCTGGGCGGATCGGGCCGGGCGGCCAGGTCAGGAAACAAATGTCGGGGAGCGGTGCCACCTGGGCTGGGGAGCAGGATGAGGAGGAGCACGAGGAGAATAAGGAGGAGGACACGAAGAGGAGGAGGAGGAGGGGGAGGAGGAGGACAAGGGGAAAAGGAGGAGAAGGAGGAGGCCAGGAGGAGAATGACGACGACGACGAGGTGGGGGAGGAGGCCAGGAAGGGGAGGAGGCCAGGAAGAGGAGGAGGCCAGGATGATGATGATGATGATGATGATGATGATGATGATGATGATGATGATGATGATGATGATGATGATGATGATGCTGATGCTGATGCTGATGCTGATGCTGATGCTGATGCTGATATTGATGATGGTCATCATGATTATGATGAGGATGCGGATGGTAAGGATGAGGAGGATCAGGATCATGGTCAGGTTCAGGATCAGGGTGATGATGATAATGTTGTTGATGACGATGATAATGGTGGTCGTGGTGGTGACGGTGATGACGAGCACGAGCAGGATGAGGACGAGGACATGAGGAGGAGGAGGAGGACAGGAGAGTACTGATAACGACAAGGAGGTGGAGGAGGCCATGCAGAGGAGGTGGCGAGGATGGTGATGATGGTGATGATGATGATCATCATCATCACCAACATAATCATCATCATCATCATCATCATCATCATCATCATCATGCTGACGATGATGCTGATAATGATGATGCTGATGAGGAGGAGGATTTGGATGCGCATGAGGAGTAGGATCATGGTCAGGATCAAGATCAGGATGAGGATCCATATTGTGTTGTTGATGCGGAGGATGATGATGATGCTGATGATGAAATGATTGTGCTGATGATGCAGAGGATGATGGGACTGACGATGACGATGACGACCATGATGATGGTGACGATGGTGATGATGATGTTGCTGCCGATGATGATGCCGATGGCGATGACGCTGACGACGACGATGATGATGCTGCTGCTGATGACGATGATGGTGAGGATGATGAGTACGCTGATGATGATGGTGCTTTCGATGAGCCTGATGCAGATGATAAGGATGCTGCTGCAGCTGACGATGCTGATGAGATGGCGATTGGGTTGATGGTGCTGATGGTTATGGTGATGGTGAGAACATGGTGATGGTGAGATGTTGATGGTGATGGTGATCGTGAGAACATGGTGGTTCACATGATGCTGATGATGTTGCTGCTGATGGTGAAGCTGATGATTGTGATGATGATGTTGATGATGATCATGATGATCAGGCTGGTTGTGATGGTGGAGATGACTGGTGACGATAATGAGTAGGTCGATGGTGATGATGACGATGGTGAGCAGGAAGTGGCCAGGATGCCAGAAGGGGGGTGAATAGGAGCAGGTGGGGAGGAGACGGAGATCAGAAGGAGGCGGCCAGGAGGAGAACTGACTTCGAAGGTCGGGACGTACCTGGCTCGGATCCAGATGAACAACATAATTGCACTGAACGCGGACTCGTTTTGGCACATCACGTGGACGCTCCAGCTGGCGCTTCTCGTGATCGGCTGCCTCGACGCGTTCGTGGGCAGCTACGTAGAATCCATGCTGTTGCTCGAGTGGCGCAAGGACCTGAGCCAGTACATGCTCAAGCGGTACATGGGGGCGCAGGCCTAGACAGAGGGAGAGGGTGGGGGGGGGGGGCGGTAGTAAGGAGAAAGGGGGGTGGGGTATTCTGTATGAGGGAGGAGGGTGGGAAAACAACAAAAGGCGACCAGGGAGGATGAGGACAGGAAGCGCAGGGCGGGAGGCGGAGGAGGGGGGCACAGGCCTACTACAAGATGAACTCGAACTCGGGCAAGGACAACACCGTCGACAACCCGGACCAGCGAATACAGGAGGACACCCTCACGTTCGTCACGGAGCTTAACAATTTCACCTTCAGCGTCATCTCCGCGGTCGTGACCTTGGTGAGCAGCTCTGTGCTCATCTGGACCGTCGTCCCCCAGGTGACCGTCTCCAATATCCTCCTTGTCGCCTCGTCCATCTGGACGACAGTCATTCTTCTCCTCCTCCCCTTCCTCCTTTGTCCTCTATCTCCTCGTACTGTTTTTTATTCACCCGACGTTGATCTAAGCGATCGCCGCTTCTGGATTCCTCCTTCTCCTCCTGATCCTTCTCTTCTTCCCCATCCTTCCCCCGTATGAATAACGCCTCCCCGCCGCACCCCCAGATGTGTCGTAGGGCTGGTGGGGCGTTTCGCCTCAGACTTCCCCACCGCTTGAGCCTGAAGCTTGAAACCTGCAACAGCGTCAAGGACTGAGCAGAGATGATGTTCAGCGTTGGGCGTTCGCCTTAGCGCTGCGTGCATTCGTCTTATCAGGTCGCGACAAATCAAAACATGTAGAGGGCTGTCGTTTTCAAAGGGGATGGCTTGCAATGGCGCCGCGCGCAGTCGTCTTAAAAGTTTGCAGCAGCTTCCAGGATTGAGGGCGGCCCCTGTTCCAAATGGAGCCCTCGCCATAGCGCCGTATGACGTCTGCTTGAGAGGTCGTCAGCACGCAGCCGCACAGATGAAGACCAGTTCCGTTGACAAGTGGGTTGTCGCTAGGCGGCCATTTGAATCGTAAACAGATGGTGCAGGTGCACGGCTAGGGTGGCTCCTTCCCAGAACTGGTCCGAGCCCCATTATGAAGAGGAATCGCCTTGCATCCTTGCCGCGAGGGGAGAGGGTCGGGGAGGTCTCAGGCTCGAGAATTCTTCGGCGCTCATTATTGGATGGTGGTTGCTTCTCAGAATGACTGAGTCGGGGTGCCATTATGAAAAGGTTGGGGTGGTCTCTTTCAACTCGGGGAGGTCGTTGGACTCTTCTTTGAATTGTATGGCCATGCCCCTCTTGCGCTTTTCATGATCGAAGGCGCCCATGGCGAATCACCGCCGCTCATTCTTTTTTTGGCAGGGCGCATGTGGTCGATCGTTGCGGCCAGAGCTCTGCCAAGCTATCGGGTTACTTGGTTCCCCAGCCATTGTGGAAACCCGTCTTGCAACACATGGGGGAGAAACACCAAGAGGAGGAGAGGGAGGACAAAGGGATGAGGATGCGGAGGAGCAGGCCTCTTGGGAGCCTCTCGGGGCACTGTCGCGGCCTCCTGGGGGCTTCCTGGTGGCCTCTTGGAGGCCTCTTGGGGATTCCTTGGGCCGCTTGATGGCCTTCGGAGGCACGGTTGGGGGCTCGTTGGCCGTCTGGGGCGTTCCTGGCCTGCCTGACACCGTCGCCAGCCGTCTTGCGGGCCCCTTGGGCGCTCTTGGGGCCATTACTGGTGGCCTCTGGGGCTGCCTTGGGCCGTCGGGAACGTGAACATGAGCAAACGCCACGCTCCTCCAATCATCGAAGAACAATCAAGGATTCGGGCCTCTTCGGGTCTTCCTGGAGGTCCTCTTGGGCCGTCTTGGGCGATCCTGAGGCGTTCTTGGGGGCATCTTGGCCCGGCTTGGAGACATCGTGGGACCGTCTTGGATGCCATCTTAGGCCATCTTGACCGTCTTGGAAGCATCTTGCAGGCCATATTGGCCGTCTTGGGACAAGTTATTCTGCAGGTTACGGTCTATACGCGGCTCCCCAGGTAGTCGGCGGGTTGGGCCGAAGGCCTTGAGATCTCGTGTCAAACAAAAGTCTGGCACGCCGTGCACCCTTGTGGCAAGCCAGCCTGGGGGCGCGGATCAAGTGGCCTTCGGTGAATTTCGCTATTGAGCATGGGTTCACGGTCAGAGGCCCCTTGAGTACCCGTGGGGATCTATTGGGAGACGTTTCGGAAGTCTCTCGGGGGCGGTTTTCGGGGCGGCGTCCGCTTGGGGCCTCCTGCAACTTGGAGGCGTTTGGCTCAAGATGTCAGTTTGTGCTCCCCGTCTTGAGTCCTCCTTGGGGCCATCTCGGGGGCCCATCGGGCCCCTCTTGGGGGCCCGTGGGGCGTGTTTGGACGCTCTTGGGCGCCTCGTGGGCCGCCTTGGGCGCTCTGAAGACCGATGGACGTTGACGTGTGTAGCCTCTTTGGGCCGCCCTCCTGGAGCCCCCAGCCCAGGAGGCGCCCACGAGGGCTCCACGGAGAACGGTCCTCGGGGGTCCCCTTCGGGCCATGTGGAACGCGCGTGTACCAACCAATGCGCTCTTGCCTTTGGAAGAGTCGCGCGGGCAAAGCCGGGAGCGACCGAGAGCGCCTGGAATTTTGGAGTGTGGGCGCGCAATGGGGGGGGCGCGTAGTGGAGGGCATCAATGGGGGGCGGCGTTGGTTGCCGAGAAGGGTCCCTTTCGGGGCCCACCCTTTCGAGTTCCCTGATGGGGCCCTTTCGGGCCCCTAAAGGTGGCCTTTGGGGCCAGACGTGGACCTTTCTCCCCCCATGCTACCACGGGTTGTTCAAAGTGGGTATTTCTAGATTTACAAATACCACTCGACTTTAGGCGCATCCCTACTTCAATCAACGAGCGTCTTTCCCCTTGTCATTCCTCTTTAAGTGACGGGCGGAAGCCCGATCTACTTCAACAACGCCTCCCTACTTCATGTTTCTACCCTCTTCTTCCGACGGATGGGTGTCGCCCCCCGTCAAACGCCGCCCAACTCTTGAACACAGATGGACATTAGGGATCGCAGAGAACTCAACGGCACCGTATGGCACGCCACTTTGTGCCTCGAGCCAGTGTGGCGGATTACCCGCAAGCAGCATGCAAGGCACTTCCTAGTTTGAAGCGTGCCTCTCAATGGAATGGCAGGCGCATCGCGTGCTGGTCTTTCAAGGGGCCGCTTCTTGGCGTGGACAGGAAGGCTTGCTGGGATTCATGAGGGTTCGACTTAGGACTGGAGGGTGTACTGCAGCATCGCTGATGCATCTTGGGTTTACTCTGGTCTTTTCCTTCTCGTCTTCCGCGTCACCGCGGTTCGGGGCTCCCAGCCCTGATCTCGACCGTTGCGACATTAGGTGACGAGGTTTCAGATGTTGCTTGATGTGTTAGTTTCATCTCGCTCGAGGTCGCAAGTGGTAACCCAGACATTCAGCGCAAGACCGAGCCTTATTCGTCGTTCTCCCCTTGCTCATCCGCCTCTTTTCCTTCTCCTTCCTCGGATGATCGCTCGTTTCCTCCTGCGCTCGGATTTGAGCCGCCTCCCCCATTTCCGCACTCGGTATTGGTTCCTGCTCCTTCTCCCCTTCCTTCTCCTCCTCCTTCTCCTACCACTCCTCCTCTTCAGCTTTCTCATTCTCCTCCTCAGCCTTTTCCCTATCCTCCTCTTCGATAACCGCCCCTATCTTGTATGCCCTTCCCCCTCGACGTGTCCTTCGTTTTCTCTCCTTCGTGCCTCCTTTCTCCGTGTGCTACTCGATGCTCACTCGTCATCATCTTTCTCCTGATGACCCTGCTCCCTCCCACTTGCTCAGGTGACGATGATGCTGGTATTCTATACTTTTGCCGGCTCCCTGGTGTCGCTCTGGTTCATCCGGAGCATCGCGGAGATCAATTACCGCATCTCGAGCAAAGAGGCGAACTACCGGCACTCGTTGGTCCACCTGCCTTTTTCTGCATCCACCTCCTCCCCGTATGATCTCCTACCCCTCATCGTTGGTTTCCTCCTCTTCTCTCCTAATTCCTCTCCTCCTCCTCATTCGCCATCAGGTTGCTTCTCGTGTAGTTTAGCACAGGAGCACATGTTGGATTGCAAGTGCTCTGTTATGTGTTGTTCTTCATTCGATTCTCTCCAATATCACCCGTCTCATTGTTATAAGGTTCCTCTCTTTGCTTCCTGTCGTCCTCGTCCATCCTTGTCGTCCTCGTTCCTTTTGCGTCGCCGTTTCCTTTTACTCTTCCGCTCCTTCTTCTCCTCGTTCCCATGCGCCTCCTAGTTGTTCTCGTCGCCTTCCTCTTCTTTTTCCCCATCCCTCTCAATCCTTCTTGTTTTCTTCCTCCGTATCCTCCTTCATCCTCTTCCTCCACTTCCCGCGTTGTCCTTCTTGTCTTCTCTTTCCTCTTTCTCTTCGCCTTTCTTTATATTCCTCCTCGCTTATTTGTTTCCCTCCCCTCCTCCTCCTCCTCCTGCTCCTTCTGACTCTCCTCCTCCTGGTCCACGTGCGCGACAACGCCGAGAGCATCGCGCTCTTGGCGGGGGACCGCCAGGTCGAGGCCGACGTCAATGCCTTCTTCGCCGACCTGATGCAGGCTCGCAAGGCCCGTGGGCGAAGAACCCACTCGCAGCGTGCTCCCTCTATCATCGTACTGCTACTCCTCCTTCTACAGTTACAGATCAGAATGCTACTCTCCTCTTTTCCCTAACTCTGTCCAAAGAGTGTCCCGTCCTGCCCACGTATGTTTTTTTACACCGGATTCCATTATTTGGTTATCCGATGTGTCTCGTTTCAATGTGGTCGTTTCTGGTTCTTCCAAAATTGTGTTCCCGCTGCAGCGCCGCCCTCATTTCCGCGCTTCGGTCATTCAAAATCGTGCTCCCGCTGCAGCGCTGGCCTCGTTCCCGCGCCTCCAGACGGCACTTGGAATTCGAAAGCGCCCACGTCGGGCAGGCACGGTTGCGGAGGACATGGAGCCTGCATTCTGGACAGGTTTTGTCTTCTCGTAGACGAGCCACTCAATCTCCAAGCCATTTGGTGCAATGCTACGGCATGCAATGCGATGTTGTGTTGTGCACCGCTGTGTGATACCATGCTTTTGCGTTGCTACGAGTGATGATGCAATGCTTCACTACGCAATGCCATGACATGGTATGACATGCTATGCTCTGCCGTGCTCTTCTACGCCATGCTTGTCAATCCATCGCGGACCTTCTTGGGATCGTTGCCCTGCTCGACATCCGAATGCGCGAATAGATCAGTGATCTACGCTATGGTAAGGGATGGGAGGAAGGGGTAGGACGTCAGATGTGACGCCAGCGCGCCCAGCTTGCCTCTCCCCCCTCCCCCTCCTCCTCCTCCTCCTCCTCCTCCTCCTCCTCCTGACCCTTCACCGTTCACC